AAAAATGATCAGCAAGACAAGATCTACAATTAATATAATATGGCGGAAATCGTCAGTTGATTCCTTATTGGAGTTATTGCCCTCTAATGACAATTTTTACCATTTTTTTTGCGTTTTGCCTTATATGATAAAAATGATAGTAGATAGATAGAAACTTAAATAAGCAAAATTGATTAGCAAGAAAAGATCTACTAACAAGTCAAATTTTACCAATAGAGTTAGTAGACTGTCACTCTTTATAGGAGTGATTGCCCTTAATTTAATTGCCCTTCCGGAGCACCTGAGATCACCCCCAGTTTTTGGTGGGGTTCGTGTTGCCTAGTCTTTAGTTTTCTATGTTGTGTCATCTGTACTTTTATTGTCTGTTTGTCTTTTCATTTTTGGCCATGGCGTTGTCAGTTTGTTTTCGATCTATGAGTTTGACTGTCCCTCTGGTATCTTTCGTCCCTCTTTTAGGATTTTTATTTTACCTTCTTTTGTGTTTTGAGCAAAAACTAAAGAAGATAGAGAGAAACTAAACGGACTAAATGATCAGCAATACAAGATCAACAAAGCAGAGATTTTTTGTCATGAATTCTATTCTCGCCTACAATGTTGGAGAGTGTCATTTGTTCAACATGCATATAGACCAAGGTGAGCGACACAGGCTCTTTAGAGCCTTTAGTTTAATTTGGAGCGAAATCTGTACTTTTAATGATGTCATAAATAAAACTCTACGGAAACGCATTGTCAACGTCATAAACAAGGCAATATATAGTCAGTGACTGTATATCATAAATGATTGTAAGGTCAATGCAATTATATAAAAAATATGAATAAGATATCTTATAAAGTATATAAGATATCTTATAAAGTATATTGGAACTATTTTATATAAATAGATTATTAAGACACAATATGTTTTGGAATGCTGTACATAAGTTATGCAGGATCCTTGACGTGTTCAGATTATTATCCAATCAGCAAGGGGGTTTCCCAGTCACTTCTGCATGTGCTTCTCGTTTACTAATTGTTTTGCGAGATCATACTGATTAACCAATGAGATTGCTCATTAATTTTGAATTAACCAATCAGCACTTAATTAGCAGGTATATAAGATATCTTATAAAGTATATTAGATATCTTTTAAAAACCTAAGATTATATAAGATAATATATAAGATATCTTATATATTGTATAAGATATTGTATATAATATTAAGGAATATCTGTAATATTTTTTTGTCTATGAAGATATTACATAAAAAATGTGGTGCACACTGAATAACCAGCATAGCAGGTTATTTAAAAGTGTACACCATATTTTTGAGGATATTTCGAATTGACAAAAAAAATTACAGTCATTCCTAATTTTATTCTAAATTTTATTTTTTAGGAGTTATATCATGAAAAACCTTGATAACTTCACGGTCAGATGAGAAGTTTATGTCTATGGGCTGATAGACAAAAAAATTTCAGCGAATTAGAAGACGTGTTAAATCCAAAATTAAATTATTATGAGATATCTAGAAGTTAATTAGTAAAACAGCTTGCCATAAAATTCTCTTTTTCAATTCAAAAGAATTTTGTACAGCAAATAATTTAAAGCCATACTTCTTTTCATTTAAATAATATTCTTCATCAATTAAAAAGTAAAATAAAGTGTTGTGTATTTCAATTATCAGTAAAAACATTTTTGAAGAAAAATCAATTTTAAGGGGAACTAATTCCACATAAAAAAAATAAAAACACAAAATTTATCTGACATTCATACCTGTTTCATCACCTTTTGTAAAGTCAAATTTATGTTATTCATATAAAAAAGCTTCTAAATTTTAATATTATATGCAACAATTAAGCTTTTGGAAATTATCTCAAATACTGGGCGAAAATTAAATGGAATGATGTTCGTTTTACAATGAGTTCAATGAACCGGTAGATTACCTTTTGATTACATAATGATTATTTGTACAATTCATTGTTAATTAAAAAGTTAAAAGTGATCTTATGCAATCAAGGCTTATTAGTTAAGAACAAAACAAAAAGAATTATCAAAAATGTATAAAGCCATTTGACAATTGGTTGGCCACAATAGGTTGTGAACATTATGGCAATGGAAAGGGCATTGCAATTCCAGTAACCTGGATCTCTCGGGATTTATCTCTTTCGATATGAAAGCTTCTGTCAGCCAGCATGTCATCAAAATTTAGACAGTCCACCATAGATACCAGGATTAGAATTGAATTTAGATTTCGTTTTATCAATAAAGAATTGTTCGTTTTTTAGGCATTTGCAAGTCTTGAATGTTTTATATCATGGATTTTTCACTTGTCCGTTGGAAACTTATATGGTGATTCTACTTGTCTGACGCCTATGTCCACTTTTCCCAGACAATCGGACAAAGGTTATGTCAAGTCTGCCAAATTAGACTTATCACCAGGTTTGTACTAACATGAGCAACATGACAGGTGCAACTTGTGGAGCACCTGAGATTTCCCCCAGTTTATGGTGTTGCTCAGTCTTTAAATTTCTTTGCTGTGTTGTGTGTGTTTGTCTGTTTGTCTTTTTTTCTTGTTTAGCCATGGCATTGTCAGTTTATTTTCGACTTATGAGTTTTAATGTCCCTTGGATATCTTTTGCTATTTTTTTCAAGTTGATTTTCAAGATATTTTTTTTTTTAAATTCACTGTCAAGGCAATGTTTGGAGCAACTTGTAAAAAATCTATGCATTTATCATATATGCAGCTCCATAGGAAGGGCACTGCGCTCCTACCCCCTCCCCTAAATATGCCTGTGCCTGTCCCAATCAGTATTCCATAATTCAGTGGTTGCTGTCTGTCATATTTGATTTTTGTTTGTCACTTAAGCATAAATCAGGCTGTTGGTTTTCTAGTTTGAATTGCTTCACATTTTGTCCTGTCAAATTCTTTTCACAGAATGGGTTTTGCACATTTTTGAAGGCCATTATGTGACCAATATTTTCTTATGCACAGACCTTTTCATGTTTACTGTACCAGGAGAGGGTATTTTTTTTACCCTTTTTCGTATGAAACCTGATGTGATGTACTATGATTTGGTTGTATTACACCTCAATAATTAATTATATATATATATATAGTCTTTGTGCTTGTGAGGTATAAAGGTGTAATACCACCAAATCATAATACGTCACATCCGGTTGCATATGAAAAATGGTGGAAAAAAAATATTCCCTTGAATTTGACAGTTGTAGGAAATTAATCCTACATTTCATTGCAGTAAAAAATTTCTGTGTCATAGACATATATCTTGGGTGGTTCAAAGCACCATTATTTTTTTATTTGGTGTTTCTATAGAATATTTTGGAAACTTGAGGTTACATAGTTACTAAAGCTTGTTCACAAGAAAAAAAGGGGTGAAAATTTGATTGGTTAACTTCCAGTGATGGTTTTTTTCTTATATGCAATGAAACATTAGGTGAAATTTTGTCTGTAGTACTGGACAGGATAAAACTTTACTCATGCCAAGTATTTCTTTATTTGAAACAAAGATAAATTCTGCACAATTTTTTGAAAAGTGCAAATTTAACAAAGACTAATAGGGGAAAAACAATGATGGTATTACACCTAAAACAGACACCAATAAATCAAATTGACAATCAACCATTTTATATAAGCTAGCTCACATGAGTTAATTTATGAAATTCCCCATATTTAATTGAGTTATAGAACACAACATTCTAATGCCATTTTGAAATGCTTTTTATTATTTCTAGATAGTTTTTCCAAGTCTATGAAGGATTTACTTGGTGTTCCATGTGATGATTTTGAGTCTGTTACATCCAATTCACCACTACCATGTACACCAATAGAGATTGAAAGTGATTTGAGGCAAGCCAAGACACCATGCAGTTCACAAAATATTCCCAACACTGCAGTGAAAGGATTATCACAATTTCAAGAGAAACATACAGATTTAGACGCATCTTCCAAGATAGATAACTCTACTGTAAATGAGGAATGTACTGAATATACCAAGTCTTTGTTGGTAAACCAGATTCCAGGAAATCAGTATAATGGTAATGTGTGTACATACTATCATGTAATGTAACATTATATTTACTATCATATTAATATCAATAATCTGTGCTTAAATGTTGTCCAGTGTACAAATGTTCATCAAAATATATCTAAAATATTGCCTTATTACATTTATTTTGCTTTAAGGATGTTTGCTACTCTGTTTCAAAATAACAAGCTTTTTAAAAAACTGTTATAAATTGAAAGTATATAAATAAATTAAAGGAACTTAAAAAGCAGAAAACATTGAAGGGTCTGTGTGCTTGTTTTCGAGATATAAGCCATTGAAAATTTGGCTGGAAGTGATTCTCTCTAGATTTTTCATATATTTATCATTGGCACCTTTTTTCTTTCAAAATCTATAAAAAAAATAACAAGGATTTTATAAGGTTTTCAAAAATGGCTTTTTAAACTATATGTAATAAAATTATGAAAAGAAAAGTAGGTGTTAGTGGATTTTTAAAGGCAGTGCTTTAATGCCTTTCTAGTTGCCGTGTTAATCTTTCTTTCCGCGATATCCAACTTATCTACGTGGGGGGTCATTAGGCTCCAAGTAGATCCGGAAAATGTTGATTCTCTCCTCTTCTTATTGTGATATAAAATGTTTTTTGTTTCATTTCATTTACATTGGGAAATAGAGAAACGATCATTGTGTTTTGTTAGTTTTAAAAACTTTTGATATATTTGTATTTTTCATTATAAGCAGTCAACCGATTGACAAACTAGAATTATTTGAATTCCGTGTGGAAAGAGGTCGGGTTAATTTCGAGTGTTATCTGCAATCTAGATGTTTATAAATCATTTCAGTCGTTGATATAATAATTAAAGGTCGACTGAACATGAATTATATTATACAATTTAAAGCGCATTTCTGTTTATGCACGCGAACCCGTCTAAGGTTATTGTTATTTCGCAGTTATATAAAGAAGCAAATTATCGTTCCTGAATAGGTGGCGCCGTGGTAGCCGATCCTGTTCTTCAACTTCCGGTTTCTGCACTGTGCAACTATTACAGTTGCATTTTTTATTAACGATGCCAAGTACTTGTTGTTGTGTACCTGGATGTCATTTAAGAGGAGGACATGCATTTCCAAATGACTTAAAAAGAAGGAAAAGTTGGATCAACGCCATGGCCCATACGCAGATTGGACGAGAACACGATGAAATCGTGGAGTCCATCTCAATCAGCTGTTGTTTGCAAGGCACATTTTACTGAAAAAGACTACGTGCAGGAAACTATTCATGGTAAAACTCTATTTTCTTTTTAAAATATATAGTTATATATGTAATCGCCATGCGAAATAACCAAAGTCTGTTTACAACCGCAATTATCGTTTTAGAATAAAAGGGGGTGGTTAATTCAAGACGTCATAATTTTTTGGATTACGATTCAATGTGATCTGTTTGAGATTTTTTGGTGCTTGCTACAATTATAATGATTTCTTACAAGAGGTATATCATACTGAGAATTATTTTAGCAGTAATTATGCTAATGTGGTAATGACAGGAATGCATAAGCTATGCCTCATAGACTTTCTTGAAAAATATCAATGACAATGTTAACAGGAACAAAACAATGACATACTCTCATCTATATTATAGTTATTTAGGTACAAACAATGTATGTTTGTTGCATACGTCTCTCATTGTTTGTCCTTTTGATTTACATAACATACATTTTGATGTACATTGAATCAGGCTAACATATTTTTATCCAGATTGTAATGAATAAATCTAGTTAATATTTTGCCAGGTAGTATAAAGTATGCATTGCTAATGAAAGTTCATTTAATTATCAAAAAACTAATGTTTTATAACCTTTTTCAGGGTGCAAACCCACCATACAGAGACCTAAGTCTACTGCCATTCCCAGCCTATTTTCCTGGACTAAGCAAGAGACTGAATCGTCCGCAAAAAGAAAAATCAGGGCAGTTTCCTGTGAAAACAAAAGAACTAAACTTGATGAATATTGTAGTAGAAATCTAGAGGAAAGTTTTGATTGTAAAGTTGGTTTTCCTGAAGAAGTCATTCATACTGCAGACATGATTTATGACTGTCCACCACCAACTGCCGAGCTAATGTTGAGCTTCACAGATGGAATTACGCAAACACCATCAATGCCTATATTTTCAGCAGAGAATTTTGAAATGAAGACACGTGACACAGCCATGCATTTATATACCGGTTTAGAGTTGTAACTTGTATACTAAATTTTTATTTGTTTTGACCACACTTGGTCCAGCAGCACATTGTTTGAGATACATATATTTTCAAATTGATAGGGTGTCATTTGAAAATCAGTTTTTTTATGACTTTGATGAAATTGAGGCATTATACAACCAACTTTGAACTGTCTAGATTCTAGATTGAAACTAGTGTTAAGAATATTGTGTAAACATGGATTGTTTTTATGTCTAAACAGTGGCGTGAGGCTAACACTTGGCCATTTAGTGGTTTAGTCAGGTATTTTTCGCCATCCAACTTCAAATTAAAGTTTCCTACAACTTGGATTATTATTGACAGCACAGAATATCCCGTGATAAAACCTAAAGCTCCTAGAGCTCAGGCAACCTTTTCATCATATAAAAACAGAAACACTGAAAATACTTGTATGTTCGACTCCTGGTGGTTTAGTCAACTATGTCTCTAATGCATATGTTGGTTGTACCAGTGACTGTGAAATAGTTGAAAGATGTAGAATAGTTCAATTATGTGATCCAGGTGACAGTGTGATGGCAGACAAAGGTTTAAATGTGCATGATTTGTTTGCTCACTTTTTTCAAAAAAAGAAACAGAATTAGTTCCAAAACTCTTATACGGGATAGAAAAGTCTCCAATTAACACGTGCACATAGAGCTAATTATTGGACTTGGCAAAACATACAAAATTCTAATAAATCCTATGAATGGAACTGAAACAAAACTTTCATCTGAAATAACATTTAGTTGTTTTATGTTGTGTAATTTTAGAACTTGTATTGTGCCAAAGGATGCATAAATAAAAGTGACGCAATGAAGTTTGTTCTGATATATATATATAAATATTATTTACAATTACATGCACATGTAAATTGTAATGCATATAAAAATAAGGAGATGTGGTATGATATTCAGTGAGTTTATCGAACCAAAGTGCATAAGAAATGGGTAAAGCAGTTACAGGTGTTACTGTCACCGTGCAATCTCCAACAATTAGAAAAACTTGTACCGTGTAAAAAATTTCAGAGATCTTACAACTAAGTTTTGTTGTCTCACCTTGACTTTGGTGAATTGTTTATATCTGTTGATGTAAATATAAAAAAGAAGATGTGGTATGATTGCCAATGAGACAACTTTCCACAAGAGACCAAATGACACAGAAATTAACAGCTATAGGTCACAGTACGGCCTTCAACAATGAGCAAAGCACATACCGCACAGTGAGCTATAAAAGGCACTGAAATGACAATGTAAAACAATTCAAACAAGAAAACTAACGGCCTAATTTATGTACAAAAAATGAACGAATAACAAATATGCAACACATAAACAAACGACAACCACTGAATTACAGGCTCCTGACTTGGGACAGGCACATACATGTACGTACAGAATGTGGCGGGGTTAAACATGTTAGCTGGATCCCAAACCACCCCCTAACCTGGGACAGTGGTGTAACAGTACAATATAAGAATGAACTATAAAAATCAGTTGAAAGAGGCTTAACTCATCAGATGGATAAATACAAATACAAGTGGACGAGGCCGGGTAGTTGTACATCCAAACAACAAAAAGACACTAAGTACAGATCTGAGAGTACTCACATTTACTGACAGCTAGTTCAAAGCCACTAACAACTGATAAAAAAATCTTGCATCTAAGACTAAATTATCAATCCGTAAGCTCCCTTTAGAATTTTATAAATTTTAGATTTTACATTTCTGAGTTATGGGGTTTTATTCATTAAAAAAGCGGGGATTTTCCAGTTTTTGGACAACAACTCAAAAATGCTTTAAGCAGTTCGCATGAAACTTTGGTGAATTATTTATAGCTATTGATGTAATCTCCCTATTGATTTTCATAAATTTCAAATATGACATTGAGAAGAAATTGAACTTTATTTGTTTATAGTCTGGCAACAGATTTATTAAGTATTGCGCAACAGCACAGTGTATTGCACAACAGCAAGAAATCTTTAATTGAATATAAATTCAATTCATATAATCGATTTCAAGTTCTGTGACTACATTTATTCAGAAACTATAATATGTCAAATATTTAATTACAATCCAAATTCAGACCTGTATCAAGCTTGAATATTGTGTCCATTTTTGCCCCAACTGTTCAGGGTTGGACCTCTGCGGGTGTATCCAGCTGCACTCAGCGAATCAGTTTATTTCTTAATTAAGAACTCCTTTTTGTCAAGCCTGCGACTTTTGTCGCAGAAAGCTCGACATAGGGATAGTGATCTGGCGGCGGCGTTGGATAACTTCTTAAAAGCTTTATATTTTAGAAGGTGGAAGGTCTGGATGCTTCATACTTTGTATATGGATGCCTCATGTTACGAAGTTTCCGTCAGTCACATGTCCAATGTCCTTGACCTCATTTTCATGGTTCAGTGACTACTTGAAAAAAAAGTTAATATTTTTTGTAATGTTAAATTCTCTCTTATTATAAGTAATAGGATAACTATATTTGGTATGTGCGTATCTTGTAAGGTCCTCATGCCCGTCAGACAGTTTTCATTTGACCTCAACCTCATTTCATGGATCATTGAACAAGGTTAAGTTTTGGTGGTCAAGTCCATATCTCAGATACTATAAGCAATAGGTCTAGTATATTCGGTGTATGGAAGGACTGTAAGGTGTACATGTCCAACTGGCAGGTGTCATCTGACCTTGACCTCATTTTCATGGTTCAGTGGTTATAGTTAAGTTTTTGTGTTTTGGTCTGTTTTTCTTATACTGTATGCAATAGGTCTACTATATTTTGTGTATGGAATGATTGTAAGGTGTACATGTCTAGCTGGCAGGTGTCATCTGACCTTGACCTCATTTTCATGGTTCAGTGGTCAAAGTTAAGTTTTTGAGTTTGGTCTTTCTTTCTAATACTATATGCAATAGTTGAACTGTATTTGGTATATGGAAATATTTTATGATCTATTTGTCAGTCACACAGGTTTTTTTTTACCTTGACCTCATTTTCAAGGTCAGTTGCTCAGTTTTAAGTTTTTGTGTTTTGGTCTGTTTTTCTTAAACTATAAGCAATAGGTCAACTATATTTGTTGTATGGAAGAATTGTTAGCTGTACATGCCTGCCTAGCATGGTTCATCTGACCTTGACCTTGTTTTCTTGGTTCATTGGTCAATGCTTAGTTTACTTGGTTAATGTTAAGTTTATGTGACAGTTGTAATAAAGCTTTATATTTAGGACTATCAACATAATATCAATGATTAGTAAAGAAGGCGAGACATTTCAGCATGTGCACTCTTGTTTCATTCATAAATTACTTTATACTTGGAAATATAATTTTGCTTGGAGTTATAGTTTCTAAAAAAAGTATTGTCATTGAAAGAGTTGACATGTTGCAATGTACATTTATTCTACATAGTTCTATGGTACCAAATCAAAAGTTTATATGAAAGAAAGAAGTGAAAGGTTTCCCATCATAGTTTAGTTACATACATTTTTTTTGTACCTGAGGTCGTTGAATATAGATCATTATATAAATAAGGAGATGTGTTATGATTTCCAATGAAACAACTATCATCCATACATTGTACTACCAGTCACAAACCACATTTGCAAAGTTGAATAAAATACAGTTGATAACATTTACTTATTACTAAAAAGAAAATGCCAAACTATCTTAAACAGTATTTGACTATAAACATAGATAAAAAAGGTACAAACTGGACATAATGCACTAGTTCATAAACAAGTGAGAACAATCGCCTTCATATAGTGCTCAGAATATGACATTCATAAAACTTGTTCAATATCATTAGAGAACTCTAAATCTTAGATACTGAAAGCCACCTCTGATAAGTACAATGTACTATGCAAGATAATGATATAACTGGACTAAAAATACACACAACCTGTAATTAACTGCCTTTACAGCGCTTTCGCGCTTTGATTTAATTTTTTAATGGCAAAACATGGAAACCAGAGGATTCCCAAAATCTGGCAAAAATTCAAAAACAAGAGGAGCGAACATCCTTAAACAAATAATTGTAGGTTTTTTTTGTGTGTTTCAGCTCTTATTTATAAAACTATGATAGAAAGAGGGAAATAATTCTCAGAACAAATCCAACATGATCAAAATTATCTTTTTACTCCTCTAGCCTGGGGAAAGCGGTCTAACAGCACAACATAAGAACAGACTCTAAAAATTAATTGGAAAATGCTTAACCTCATTAGACCAGCACTAATCACCACAATGTTTAGCTCTTATCTTGGAAAAACTGTAACAGTAAAAATGACCAACGAGGCAAGATCTAGATCTACAAAATTAAAGGTCATACATGGCAAAAATTACCAATTGACTCATTTAATAATTAATTACCCATTTTTAATTCTTTGCTTATGCCTTGAAAATGGAAATAGAATAAATCTGATTTGTACTTGATATTCTGTAGTGTCCCATATCAGCCATTTATAATCCTCAGAGCTTCTAGATATTTTAAAATTCCTGAATCATTCTTCCTAAAAAACTATTATATTTGTAAGAACTTTCAGCTAGAACTTTACACAAACATATAAAATATTTTTACATGTAAATTTATTAATATTCGTATGATACCAAATGTTTGGTATTTCGTGGGTATAGCTAGGTGAACCATGAATTTGAATGTTCAATTAAATCAAATAACTACGAAATTGCAAGTTTTCTTGAATCCCAACGACAAAAAATGCAACCACAGTAATATTATTTGGATTTCTATAACTTCATCTTTTTATGTGAAATATGCCCCATTTATTAGTTAGATGGTTTATTAATAAGTTTCTGTTTCTGCATTTACAGATATAGAGGTGTATATTGGAAATCTTGAAGAATCTGTGACAAAGGTAAATCTTCTATATCAAATATTTATATTGTGATCTTTCAAAATGATTTGATTGAACCCAATGGCACATCATATTTTCACCTCTTTAGATCATCTGGCCCAAAGGGACTATGTCGGCTATTGTCATCATTTGGCTTCAAGAATTTGTTGTAAAATATTTGTCCTTTGGAACTCCATGCCACACGCCATGGTCGTTGCTGATTCTCTAGACTCCTTCAAGGAGAGAATCAGCAAGTATAGCTTCTAAAAACCAACTTGTTTTTATCCTCCTTTTAAACTGTCTCACACAACTCTGATTCTAATTGTTTATAGTCCATTTGTGTGATAATGCTCCAGAGGAGCCCGGCACAGTAAAGAAAGAAGATTTACCAAATACTATCAAACCTTGAGGAAATGGTATATTTGTATTCCCCCTTTTGAAATTATAGTTGATGACCACAGCTGCACTCTCTTTACAATTCTTGAATCTAAATAACCATCTGATCGCTTCTGGACGTAATGAGATTTAATAGGTTCAATAGATTTGAAGAATGGCCATTGGTGTCTTTAAAAAATCTAGTTCTCTGATAGACAGGTTAAAAAATAAACACAAAAAGATATCTATGAATATAGGGAAGGATATTTCCTTTTAATGGGATAAAATGAATTGTCCACCAGAGATAGTTCTTTATCATGTTTATTACAATAAGTCATTTCTCATTTCAAACCAAGGACAAATATTTTTGAGACCTATGTATTTGGTGCTAAGTGGTACCATGTATTGCAGTAACATATCAAAAATCCTGTTTAACCTTTTTGGGAAATTACATTTTCATCTTTTTTCTCGCTTTAAGGACGGTAAGCATAAAGTTTTTGAGGTTATATCAGTTTATCAGCTATATTTGCATGTGTTGTAAGGTTTAAATATCAGTGTGCCTGAATTCATGGTTTTAATGTGCTACATTTTGTTATTGTGTGTAGGTCTGTTTTTGTAATCACTATGAGCAATATGTCAACTGTATTTGGTCTATATAATCATTGCAAGCTAGACATGTCTGTCTGACAGGAGTCACCTGTCCATGACCTTTTATAACGATCCAGTTATTAAAATTAGGTTTCAGTTTCAGTCCCTTAGTTGATCCATAGAAACATGTTTATATGACATAGCCTACTCTTTAGTTCATTTTAAGGATTATAAGATGGATGTTAGATTTTTATGCCTCACCTTCGATAGTAGTAGGGGCATTA